CTTCGACTCTCAGTCTGGTTAGCGGCTTGCTAAAAACTGAGTCATATTGGGACTTGAGTAGCTCACTCATTTACTTGCTGTCATCTGTGTAGGACCCATCTTGTTAAAGTAGGGGCCCAATGCTGGATATTGTTCTCGCTTTGATTTGGCATAAGAAAAGTAATACTTTGGGTTTCTTTCGATTTCATCTATGGCTTTTAGTTCTTCCGCGATTCCTGACTCCTATAAGATTCCTTTAGCTTAAGTTCGATGTTTGCTATTTCTCTGACCAGTGACTCCCTACGCATTTCAGATATATTGGCCTCTTTTAGCCGCTCTGTTATTCTTTTCCATCGCCTGTAAAGGGAGCGCCTGTCTCTTTCTGTTTTACATCTACTCCTCCTTTTTCTTAAAGGAATAAGCCTTAAGCATACATCAAGTGCCACCGAGTTAATCTGTTCTAGGCATAAGTTGGGGTCTGTGTTGCTTAATCTATCTTCCCAGCTTATATCGTTTAGGACGTGGTTTACTTGGTCCCACTTTATGTTCTTGTTATTGAAGTTGAATTTGGTGAAGGCTCCCTCGTGACTAATCTCATTTTGTCGGTCTGGGGGTCCGCGCATACATGTCTGAACCTCGATTATGTTGTGATCTGAGTATATTGTTTTTGATATGGTGACATTTCGTATCAGATCATCATTGTTAGTGAAGATGAGGTCTAATGTATTCTCCAGTCTAGTAGTTGAATTTTATGCAGAGATTTAAAAGCTCGTGTGTGTGTGAGTTCTCGTCTGAGCTGCCTCCTGGTGTTATCACTGCAACAACATTATTTGCTATATTCCTCCATTTTAGGTGCCTCAAGTTGAAATCCCCCAGGAGCAAGATGTTGGGGGCAGGAGCTGGCAGATTTTCCAGACAATGGTCAATTTTTAACAGCTGTTCCTGGAATTGCTGGGACGTTGCATCCGGAGGCTTGTAGACTACCACAATGACTAGGTTTTGGTTCTCGATCTTTACTGCTAAAACTTTCACTACATCATTTGAGGCATTAAGCAGTTCTGTGCAAACAACTGACTCTGCGATATACAGGCCAACCTCCCCTCCCTTTTGCCTGTCCACTCTGTCGCATCTGTATAGGTGGTAACCTGGGATCCATATTTCGTTGTCCAAGTGATCCTTTATGTGGGTCTCTGTGAAAGTCGCGAACATCGCATTTGCCTCTGCAAGCAGTCCACGGATGAAAGGTATTTTGTTGTTCGTTGCTGGCTTTAGACCCTGTATATTTGCAAAGAAGAATATCATCGGACTGGTGGTATTGGTGGTACTGGGGGGGACTTTTTTTCCGGCACTAGTATCTGTATCTGTTGGTTTGGAGTGGAGGCCATCGACTGTGGTTCTACTCTAGAAATGACTGGATTTGGCTATTGGTTATTGCAACAAAAAATATCTCTCTATGATATGGATAACCAAATAATTACTTCAGGTTCATATAAATGTGAATGTAACGTAACATTTTTTTCCTAGTGATCAGCATTGTAGCTTGCAGTAAGTTGCAGGCGTCTGTGCTACTGAAATTGTTCAGAATACATCTGGTATCTAACGTGCAGAGTCGAGCGTGAGTGAATCACAATATACCAAAGATCACCTCTGGCACAGGTGACCTCTCATACAAGGACTTCCCTCATTGATGAGGTCAGGCATGTAACACTAATTCCTGAAGCTCCGTCTCTAATAGTTTTCTCGTAGTGTGGATAGACGCAGTCTTTTCACAATGTTGATCTCAAAGAAAAATTACAAAATATTAACATGTCTAATGATTTTACACTAGTAAGTTTTGATGTCACAGCGTTGTTCACCCAAGTACCTGTTCCCGATCTGCTACCTTATCTGAAAGAAGAATTGGATGAGTTCTCCATCCAGAGATGGGACACAGCAACAAGGGGTCACAATTGGAAGGTGAAGACTCAGATGAATCACAGGGACGTTAGGAAGTATTTCTTCTGTCACAGAGTTGTCAGGAAGTGGAACAGTCTGGGAAGTGATGTAATGGAGGTAGGATTCATGCACAGCTGTAAGAAGAGGTACGATAAATTTCATGGAGCAGGAAGAGTGACCTAGTAGCGACCAGTGAAGAGGTGAGGCCAGGAGCTGTGACTCGACCCCTGCAATCACAAATAGGTGAGTACACAAACAACATTTTTACAAAGCTGCAGAAACTAGATCATCCTAACAGAATAAAACAAAAAATGGAATCTCAAAGGGAAAACATAAAGGCAAGGGAACCGAAGATGGCTAGTCTGAAGAGGACGAATGGGCAGAAAGCTCTAGAGTAAAATGAATCAAGAATGAGAAAAAAGGATAAACGAGCTTTCCAATAACATGGTGGTGAAGCTATCTGCAGAGAGAAAGAAATGGGAGTTACGAGCTTTAGCTCTGAGTCAAAGATACAGAGACTGGAGAAAGAACTGGATGTGCTGAAGCAGGACTTAAAGATGAGGTCCAAAAGGAGCAAAGTGATTGA